ACGAAGCCGATGAAAATTCGTTATTCGACAAACAGCAAAGACCTGGGCAGATCTGTAAAAAGAATCACCATCACCTGCCCTCATTAAAACCGCTAAAAAACCCGCCCCAGCAAACGTTAGACTTATCGGGTCGAGCAATTTTAACGGAATCCTACTACACGGAACATGGTCAGAAGCACATTCAAACCTAGCTGAAGAAGCTATGAACCATGGATTTCGCAACTGATTCCATTATTTGGAAGTGTGTTTCACGTAGTTTGAGGAGGTCCCGCGAGTTGCAAGCCAGACATTCATGCTTGGAGGGAAAGAAGAAGTCTTGTTCCGCTCGCGCGTTGAGGATTCAATCTTTCCTGCGTGTTCTCGCTCCATGCAGATACTCCGATTTCTGCCCATTTTTCAACTTGTTGTTCAAGTTCAAATGGGTGACTAGAAGAGGAGCATGTCGAAGTTTTCCAGAGTTCCCTCCAACAAAAGCGAGTTCACAATAGTGGCAACATTTGGTTCGGCGTTGCTTCTCGCGTTACGAAGATAAAATTTGGCGGCAGCACAAACGTGACAGACATTTTGATAACAACCAGCTGTTGCACTTTTTGCACAGCACAGAATTTATAGAAGGCTGTATATTGATGCATTTAGTTCTGGCGCTAAATCTTTCTGCCGCAAGATATCTTCAGGACAACGGAAAGATGGGAAGATTCTGTCGAAGTCTGCAAATTGGAAGACGTTTTTCCGAATGAGCTCGAAGAGTTTTGTTGAGAAGAGTCGCGCACTCACCCACTTCTTGGATACTCGGAAATGCAATGAACGCTTTGTTGGCTGTTCAATATCAATAGAGATTTTCCAATCCTGCTTTGGCCAATTTTGATGCAGATAAAATAACAAAGGCTCTCCAGCGTACTTCAGTTTGATGATGTTCTTTGGATAGGGCTTGATGTAATTTAAGCCGTAGCGACGAAGACACATTCGAGATACGCAAAACACAGTTTGCAGGATTTGGACATACTTTGAGACAGGATAAATTGGTCAAATATGACAAAATAATTAAGAAATAATTTATTTTGTATATTTAATTTTCTTATTTTATAAAAAAAGTCGAAAAAAATGAAATTGTTTATATCCATTTTCAATGATCTTTCAAAGGGCCAGTTGTCAGATAGAAAAAAAATTACGCATTTAACAAAGTTAAAGGGGAAGAAGCATCCTGAAATTACGAAAGCATTTTAAATAAAAAATAAAAAAAAATAAAGTGGGAAAGTCCTGGAAAATTGAATATGCTATGCTATTCGTAATTTCAAAAACTCAGCTATTCTAATGGAGCAATCACTTGTTACGTAACTATTATAATATCGAATCAAAAGTTTGCCTATGTTGTAATTTGATTTACACAGACATGATTTAATTAAAAAAACTAAAGGGTTTAAAATATAAAATAAAATATTTATCAAAGAAAAAAAGTTAAACTAAAAAAAATATATGCAAAATAAATATTATATTAAATATAAAGAGGTAGCAGTTGACGCAGCTGGATCTGTGATAGAAACGTAATTTTTAACCGTTGGAGTCTGCAGAAATACTTTGAAGGAGCTGGCAATTTGAAATTGTTTTCACTTTAGGAGAGAATATAATTCTTCCTCTTAAAATATAACAAAAGATAGTAATACAATACAGTGTATAATAATAGGGTGTCCAAAGGTGGCGTTTTAGCACAGCGCATCTATATGAGACATTAAAAGGAGATATATGCTATTATAAATATATAATAAAAAATATGAATATATGTAATATGATGAGTATGTTGTATTTGCGGGCCATGCGGGATAGTAAAATGAATTTTGAGAGCAAGAAGGCGGTTTCGCCGGGAATTTTTGGAGGGATTTTTTTCATTTTTTTAATGAATCATAAGAAACACATCCTCGCTCATGCCAAAAATTGCAAAACTGTAAAAAAATCTACGAGACCATTGGTAAAAATGCTTCGGTATGGATGCTCCTAGCTATTCCAGACTGTAAACGTATCATGTTGATGTATCACTTCATGAACAAAAAGGCGCCCATCATAAAATTGACAAAAAATCGCCGGATCAAAGAAAAAATCAAAAGCAATTCTTCAAAGCGCTAGATGAAGACGCCAAGAGCATCACTTAGAAGGATAGAGGAAGATGACAAAGATACCATCGTACACACAAGTCCAGTTATTATCTGCACAAATTATTTTGAACTACAACTAGAGTATACCACGTTGGGTTCCGCAGCAAACCTTAATTTCAGTATCAAAAAAAAAATCATAGAGTCGCAAATCTTCGAAAAAGCTCCTCTCTATATTGGGTGCGTATCAAAATCCAAGAAGTTTCGCGCTTTTTTAGTAACAGGGGACGAGTCTTGGTTCAAATATGTCAACAGAAGCCAAAATCAATATGGATCCGCGAAGGATGAAATGTTGTAAACGAAAACGCTACAAACGGTCTTGACAGTAAAGATGACACTTTACATGGCAAAAAATAGAGCCTGTACTTTTGAGACTAACTTGAGATTGAAAACTGAATCTTATGAGGGCGGTGATCTTGAATCACTACCTCATAAGTTGTCAGTTTCATATAAAATTTGTTAGCAATTTTGTTATTCTTGCAATCATTTCTTATAAGATTTTACAATCTTTTAGGCGGGGAATGTTTGTTATCATTGTAATTATATTATAAATATCTACACGATAAGCGAACATTCCCTCGCTAAAATTGGCTGAGCAAACTTTGAGGAAATGTCGAACAATTTCCTCAAGTTTCTCAGATTTTATATAGATCACCTAGAGTCCCCTAGCAACTGATTCTGGTTCAGTACCTAGGAGGCCTCTAGTTCTTTAACGAACTATGATAAAATGTTTTTAAATTTTTGGATATTGCTACCTGTGAGCAACTGACCTTCAAGTCAGTACTCACAGGTAGCAATTAACTTGAAAGATCGGGAGATAACTTTGTTCCGAATGTTAAACTATTCGTACAAAGTTCTCACCATTTGTAGTGGAGATTGGAATGGCTTTGAGGTATATTGTATTAATATATACCCCAAAGGCCTTCCAATCTCCATTGAAAGGTCCAAACTGTGTGGGTTAATAGTTTGGCAATTACCAGTTTGTGACACTTTCTAGAAGGAATGGAGGGTAAAAGAAGATATACATTCATATGTACTATCTCTTACGCCTCGCAATTCCATTCTTAATAAATGGGAGAAAAATTTGTCGCAATGTTAAACTATTCGCGACAAAGTTTCTCATTTTAAGAAGGGAATTGGAGGCTATGAGATACTGATGAAATGTCAGTAACTCATGGCTATCATTGGCTTCTAAAACTCATAAAAGTGGACATTAACATGCATATAAAATTTGACATGTAAATGTCCCACTTTTTTGCGAGCGGGGAATTTGGACTCCGTCAAATCCCCTTTTTCGTTTACGAGAAAAATCCGCAAACATTCCCGAGAAAAAATTGACACACCAATGAATGATGTGCGTTTTGGGGCGTAAGATGAACATCAAACGCAATGTATTTTCAATAAACCTAATACGATGAATGCTCAGTATCTAATTGACATGTTGCTTACTCAAATTATCAATTTCTGATGAAGTTTGAGAATCCAAACAACAAAACAAAGTTTGCCAATCATTTTGAATAATTCAAGAGTTCACAAAAGTCATAAGGTAATGAATACTTAAGTGGAAAACAATGTCAAAGTTGTTCCAAACGCCATTTATTCACCCTGAATATTGCAACCCTCTGACTATTTATTTATTCGGCAGCGCCGACTAAAAAAGAGAAGGCTGAAGGACAGCGAAAATTCGCGAGTCCAGATGATCTTGAAAATTTTGTAAGAGAGCAATTTGAAGCAATTTTCTCATGGATGATTTAAAGCGTGTCCTTTCCCAAGCCTGGCATCGATCCGCTGCGAACGCCGTGATTGAAATCCAATCCCCGTGATTATATTTAAATATAACTTTATATATATGTAACGTTGTTATTTCTATTCGCCAGTATCTCAGGTTTGTGCTAAACACCCTTGGACACCCTATACTTTAAAAACCAATCGTGACAAAATTCAAAAAACGAAGAGTTCTTCTCATCCAAATTTTTTCAAATCAAAAAAATGAGATTAAAAAGTACGTTGGAAATTTCATTTTTAGCATTTTAGGAATTTTCTCACTTTTCTTCAATTGACATCCTTAATTAAATTAAATATACACATTAACACGCGGAGCTCGGAATCATCTGGATATCAAGATGATGATTTATCTTTAGATGGTTTCACTGGCAGAGAAACGAAGTAGATGAAATCGAGAATAATAAGGATAACAGCAAGCAGAACGCCAATAACCAATGACCACAGCCTTCTGCGCCACCGCAGTAAGTCCACTATTATTCAGAGTGTTGGATGTTGGTTGGAAATCATCAGGGCTTGGTGCAACGTATTGTTGTTTCTGAAGTGAAACCCTCTGTTTCAATGAATATTGGGATTGAGCTTGATTTTTGGATCCAGGCTAACAGCGCCGACCCGCCCTAATTTGAAGTTTAACTTTGCCCATCATTCTTTGATATTTGCATACTTTTGGAGGCTGGAATGTTGAGTAGATATGTTTGCCTACGTCGGCAATGTATTTCTTAATTGCAGATGGGTTTCTAACTTCAGTTACATTGCTCGTCTGGGAGATCTAGATCCGATTTCTGATGCATGCCATAGAATCTATATTGGAAGTTTCCTGTCTTTGCCTCAAAGTGTTGTAATGTAATTTTAATCTGGAATATATTCACGTCGGCTGAATGGTCCTGTATGATTTTTAGCAACAACAGTTGGCCGCAGATACAATATGGAGACTTTCCAATGAGAATATGTAGCATTGGCGGTACTAAATCGGATGTATGATTGGGGCGAACTTAACACAACAAGTAACTGTTGTCTATATGATCCTCTGGAGCGTTAACTTTGAAAGTCCATTCTGTCTTGTTTCGTGCTTGCTACGGCTGTTGCAGTTGCTAACATTCTTGTGATGTTTTGACGCCTAGTGGACAAGAGGCGCTGGAAAAGCTTCGCTTTCTTGTTGCACAAGAGATAATAATGTCTTTTGTAATATTTAAGCTTTTTCGACGTAATGATTTTCTGTCGTATTTGAATGCGCTGAAATTACTTCGCTTGGCCATCGTTTGTAAAAGAACTCTATCGGATAACTGGTGTGGAGAGTGTGGTCAGAATATGTACATTGCGGTACCGTAATGATTATGATAGCGGGCGAACTCAACAACAACAGATACTTGTACTTATATATGATCCTCTGGAGCGTTACTTTTGAACAGTCATTACTGTCTTATTCGTGCTTGTCTACGGCAGTTGCAGTGCTGAACATTTTTGTGATGTTTTGACGTTAGTGAAGGAGGCGCTGGAATGCTTCGCTTTCTGTTGGCAAGAGATAAATTATGTCTTCTGTAATATTTAAGACCCATGTTTCGCAAGTATGATTTTGCTGTGTATGGATTGCCACTGAAAATTACTTCGTTGCGGCATGCGTTGTAAGCTCTATCGATAACTGGTGATGAGAGTGTGTCAGAATATGTAAACATTGACCGGTACCTAAGTTGAGCATTCATATAATTGCGGCGAACACAACAACCAACAAGTAACTATTGTCTTATATATGCATCCTCTGGAGCGAGTAACTTAATGACACAAGATCGCATTCTTTCTTTGTTCCAAGCATTCTAGGCGGCTGTTGCTATTAGAGAACTTTTTGTGATAATTGCCGACGCTAGTTGGAAGAGTCGACTTGGAAGCTTGCGGGCTTTCTGTTACCAAGGAGAAATATGTCCTTTGTAATATTTAAGCCTGTTTCGAGTAATGAGTTTATGGACTTGTGTATTTGGATTGCCTGAATTACTTCGTTGGCCATCGGTTTGTATTTGAACACTCTCGATAATGGTGTGGGATGTGAGAAAGAATATGTTAAACTTACGGATACTAAGTTGGATTTATGATTGGACGGGCGACTCAGACAACAAACAAGTTAATTTGTTATTATGAATCCTCTGGGAGCGTTAATTATGCAAAGTCCATTCCTACTTGTTCCGTATTTTATACCAGTGAAGATAGGAAAGAAGTTTGGAGAATGGTGTATAGAACTTTATACCTTCGAACTGAAAAATCTTCTAACTTTGACAATAAGATATCCAAGCATCTAACATTCTCTTCCAACTTGTACAACTTTTATTTTTCTAAGTTTTCTGTCTACATTCTTGTTCAGACACTATTGTTGCTCTGTTTGTTAAAGACAACATCCATTCTTTCATGACATAACATTCTGGGGCAGAGTCAACATAAATGACTAACGTTTCAAAATTCTCGACTGCTTTGTTATTAGTCTCGAAATGGACACATATTTCTGATGCTTGGAAGTCATAAAAATCTGAAAACATCTATTCTGTACATTTTTTAATAAAATAAAAAAAAATATTTTTTATTCTTGAAGCTTGTTGTTCCATTTGTTCCGCATTTTGTTCGGCATTTGTTGTTTGAGTATTGTTGTTGAAGTTGTTCTTGTAATACAATACGTTTCACCAGTTGCATCTTCCAATTCGAAAACTTTCTGCCGTCATTGACAAATACATAGGACATAAAAGTTTTACAGGAACAAAGTTTGCGTCAACTAAGTTCAACGTTCTATGTTTGCTAAAGTTTTGAGTTACAAAGCTGAAAAACTCCTGCATTCGAATGAACAATAGGCAACAGCAGAGAAAGTTGTTTATACGCATAAGTATCTTTTGGTCATAATAGTTTCTGTCGACATTCGAATAACACTTTGAACCTAAGTTTGAAACAATATATACAAATTGGTGTGTTAAAGTCAATGGAACAGACATTCCTTTATGACACTTTCCTGTTATAGGAAACTGTTGTAGTAAAAACCAGATATAAGTTTGTATTATAACTCATATATTTATAGTAAACTCAGTCGGACCATCCAAAAATAATGAAATGCTCTAGTTGCAGCACATGTTACATCCGTCCTTAAAGTATTAAATAAGTCAAACAAAACCTGTGGTGGTATATCTGAGTAAGTATCTTCAAAGGAGTATTTTTTACCATTCACACAATAAAGTCTTCTGGTGTCAAAAGAGCAAAACAGGGCTTTAGTCGTCATTGTGTTTAAGGTTAGTTTACAATATCGTCCTGACGGACTTGTAAGTTTGTTGTTATAGAATTATATGACTCAGGGTTCTTAGTCGTAATAGTAAAATTATGTCTTTCTGCATTTACTTAGCAAATAAATTTTAATGAAATGTCTGTGGTCGTCAAATATTCTATAACGTCTGGGAACTATCATTTTTAAGTTCAACGTTATCCCTCTTTCATAAGTATATCTTGTCAATGACATTATATGAAACACCACAGCAACTAATGTCGGGTTCTATTTCTTTGATGTTTATATCGTCTGCCTCTGTCAAAGTTTCAATAGTTCTTTCAAAACTTCATTGAGGTGCAATGACATATGAGTTCACTTTTTACAGGGTTGTGTTCGACCAAGTTTAACATTATACTTAAAGCTGACAAATCTTTCCTGAGTTTAATTTTGCTTTCAGTTGTTGAAGTCGTTTGATTCTGAGTACACAGAACTTAAGTCTCTGCTAAACTTCAGGGATATTGTTCCTTTTAGGTTTTTCTTTAGAACTAATTGTTACCATCTCGTCTTCGTATGGTTTCCCCACTTCAACTCTCGCGTCTTTGACATTTGACAACAACACTTTGAACTGTTTGTTTGAGTTGGTGAATTTAACTTCACATCTGCCACCGCATTAAACTTTGAAAACACTTAGCTATCTATTTTTCGAAATGACATTTACTTAGAATAAAAGAGATGACGTATTCAGATATTCTCTTGCAATTGAGCAAAACAAAGTTCACACACAAACATATACAAATACATTGACAGATATAGTTCTTTACAAAACAATGGAAAATGTTATAGAATAGCAGTCTTGCTGAACCTAAAATTTTCAATAAAGCAAAGAAAAGTTGGTATAACTGAAATGGTGAAAGTTCTTGAAGCAGACAAAAAATATAACTTCAAAATTACAGATATTTCTAAAGGAAAGTTTATAATAACAATATTATGTCAAAACTGGCGTACTGTCAATATTTGACGGAGAGAAGTCAGTTCAAGAACAATTATGACCTGCTGCAAAATCTGCTCGATGGAAGCTGTCGTTATGCAATCTGAGGAGCCCAGCAGGTTCATCGAACGAATTTTCAAAAGAGCATCTTCGTGAAAGTGCTATTGGTTTTGTATAACTTCTTTGTTTTCATATCATCTGGACCGTCTCTGTCACCAGTATATTGTATTTGAACTGTACAACAGTTGAAATACCACCCATAAAGTCTTCTGAGTCAGCAAATGGAATGCCAAGCCAAAAGTTTGAACGGTCTCATTTGTATATTGAGTTTTTTGACCTCCTGTATGGTCCATACTTTCACATATGGCATAAATAGAACTTTGCATTTCAGGGTGAGGTTGTTTGTGAAGTTGTTGTTAAAGTTCATAGCATCTAATGTCAAGTTGTATGACCTTCATATCCTCCAACTGTAGAATATCTTCTCTATGGATAATATTTGCATTAGTTTATATGTATTTAATATCCAGGTGTAGAACAAGAATAGTTATTAAGTTCGTCTGAAAAGAACAATACATATGTATCCAATGCATAGTTTCATTGCAGTGTTAAGGCAATATTGTTCTTGCAGCCTGGTCAGCAACTTATTGGTTTCTAACGCTTCACCTCCAAAGCTTTGACAGATAGTTTGTGTGTATAGGATACATTAAGTGAACTGCTAAATATTAGTTTGGCAGGCTAAAGCATTAAATGATTTGTCAACATAAGACTGCAAGTCTGCTTTTATTCTCTTGCATTAAATTTCGCTATGTGAACTTAACTGGGTCCCAAGCAGTTCCCAGCAGCATTGAATATAATAGTTTACTTCAGTGTTGAAGTGATGAAACCAAAAGTCTAAGTCAACTTTGTCTTTGCAAATTCGCGAATGACGTTTAATTTGTTCCCTTTACGCGAAAGTGATGGGTTTGTGTGGTGCAATGACTAAGTTTATTTTGCTTGGAGTAAGTTCGATAGAATTTTCCTGCCCAGTTTGGCAAGTATCTAAAAACCTGAAGATGAGGAAAGATGACAAAGGAACTCTAAGTTTCAGTTTACTTTAGTGGCAGCAGTTCATCTGAACCAGAAAGGTAACATAACTCCTGGAACGTTAGGGTCAAGTTCTTATTTTCTCAATAGTTGCATAGGCTGTTTGTTCTCTAGCTTGTGGTTGTAGTAGTTTCTAAAGCGAACCATCATAGTGCCCATGTTACTGTTTGAACTAAGTCAGAGTTAGAATATATCTTATATCCCATGAAAACTTCTGGAGCATATTGGTATCCGACATAGAAAATTCCATTGCAACCTTTCTTTGTCAGACAACTTGCAGAAGGTTTTATTTCAATGTTCTTGCCACGTATAAGAAGAGTTGTCAATAGAAATATATATGAAACTGTCGCAAGCAATATCTACTGTTGTTGAAGAACCTTCTCCAAACTCACCTACGTTTCCATAAAGACAGCAGTTTATATCGTAAGTTCCAGGAACTATTTCTGACCTTCTAATGGCATTGTCGCATTCGTTATACATTCGGAAACATTTCCTTCATGGCATCCAAAACTGTTGGCGTTATATTCTGAGCGGCGTACATTTCATATGGTAAAATATAGAATAGTTGGATTTAATGTCATAATAGACCCCTCGGACCAAGCTTTACTTTCTTCCTGACTGAGTTTTAACTCTTCTTTTCCTTCATTGCCACTACTTTCACTAGAATAGTTACTTCTTCACTACTTTCACTTTGTTCTACTTCTTTTCTTTGGTGTCGCTTTTGGTAACTTGCCCTCTGCTTCAAGTTGTTGCATCTTTGCCTCATGTTCACCTAGTATGTTGTAAATTTCCCATGTCCTTTTGCCTTTGGGCTCTGGTCGCCCATCTCAGGTAACCTATATCCTAGAAAGATTTTGTCATAGTTTGTATTTGAGTCTTCGCGTATTGTTTGCATGACTCTTTCCTGAGTTTCCGGTTCAAGCTCTTCAAAAGAGCTTGTCCATATGGAATAAGCTCGTTCCAAATATATGTTTTTTGTAGCCATTCTGGTTTTCTTTCCATGTTACCAAATATCTTTTGTGAATGGGAAAGCTTTACCCAATGTTTCAGTCTTGCGTCATTTATTTCTGTAGTTGGTTTTATTTTGTCAAGGAACATGTTTTTCAATACTAACATTTCATTTGGTACTGTCCATTTGAGTTTTCTTAATATTCATCCCTTCTCAGGTTCATTGTCTGCAAAGTAAGTTTTATGACATTTTGTAAACTTTCGTTTGCAAGGTCATGCTACAATAGGTTCTCTCCTTCTCTCTCCCTAACTCTTTCTAAACTCTTCACCAATATACCATCTCTATGGTTCTGTGTAGTTCTTGAGATAAATGTTTAGACGTCAGGTGTTATATTTTCCATCAGCCATGTTCATTTTCATACTGGTTCAAAATATCTGCATCTTTCATATCT